TAGTTGCAAAGTTGCTAATTAGCTAAAATGCTAAAGTTGTCTGTGATGAGATTCGAACACGCAACCCTTGCACACTCCTTTCATTTCTGCCTTAAGTAACCTTCTGTCTTATGTAATCGTACCAAACGTAACATATCATACTAATTTGAGTATTCCAGATTTTTGTTTACTATGTTATGTCTAGTCTATGGGACCAGCCTGGGCAGATAGTGATATAGAGTCCTTTCAACTTACTGTCCAAAGGGAATGTATGAAGCCGGGTATACACTTGTATACCGTATGGACCGGTTCATACATAACACATTCTCTATTCAGGTTGCAAAGGCATCGATTTCCTCCTTCGAGACTCCCTTGACGCGTATGACTGAAACCCAACACATTCTTTTCTGGTCAGCAGAAACACAGGGAATAAAAACAAGCTCACTTCTCGTGATCTCCACTGATTTCTCCACATTTTTAGACATTTCTAACGGATTTACCAAGTCAGACATATATCTATTTTCTATAAACCTCACTCCTAACAGATACAATGGGGTATTATCAAGACTAGCCAATTTAGCTTATTTTCCCATTATTTTGGACAATAGTCCATTCCTCCTTGTTTCCACCGCCATCAGATTCAAGTTCACCATCCGCTTCCGCCATCATCCTTGCATCCATCCACCTCCCATAGTCTTTCAGGAGGCTGAAAAGATCCTCAAAAAGTTATACAGCTGCACCATTGAGCTGCACCATCTTGACTGGCTGCATCACCGCTTGTTATGGCAACTGCTCGGCATCCGACCGCAAGGTGCTACCGTGGGTAGTGTGTACGGCCCAGTACATCACTGGGGCCGAACTCCCTGCCATCCAGGACCTCTATACCAGGCGGTGTCAGAGGAAGGCCCTAAACATTTTCAGACTCCAGCCACCCAAGTCATAGACTGTTCTCTCTGCTACCGCACGGCAAGCAGTACCAGAGCGCCATGTATGTGACCAAAAGGCACCTGAACAGCTTCTACCCCGAAGTCATAGATTGCTGAACAGTTAATAAAATGGTTACCCAGACAATTTACACGAATCCCCTCTAATATTTATTTATTTATCTTAATTGTTTTGCACTGACTCTATGCACACTCACTAGACTCTATGCACACACTCACACATACTACACTGACACTCACTCCAACACACACACACACACACACACACACACACACACACACACACACACACACACACACACACACACACACACACACACACACGCACACACTACATACGCTCACACACACAAAACCCACACACTCACACATACAGTACAGTAGACACACTTTCACACTTCACATATGCTGGTGCTACTCTGTTTATTATATATCCTGATTGCCTAGTCACTTTTACCCCTACCCACATGTACATCAGTGGCGGTCAGTGCTGTTTAAGATGAGGGAGGACGATTTTTTTTTACATACCCAGAGGAGGATGGAAGCTAGCTGTCCTCCGGCTACACCATGGTGCTACCCTACAGAGTCTGTTGAGGCTACTGTAGACTTTCTTTGAAAAATAGTGTGTTTTAATCTGTTATTTGGTGATATGTGATTATATTTAGTATAGTTTTATCTAAAAAGGATAACTTTTTAAATGTTTTACAATTTACATTTTTATGAAATTCACTGAGGAGGATGGTCCTCCCATTCCTCCTCTGAGGAGCCTCCACTGATGTACATACTGTATTACCTAAATTACATAAACTACCTCGTACCCTGCACATTGACTCGGTACTGAAACTCCTTGTATATAGCCTCGTTATTGTTTTTATTGTGTTTATTGTCTTACTATTTCCTTTTTTATTTAGCAAATACTCTGCACTGTTGAGAATGGGCTCGTAAGTAAGCATTTCACTGTCAAGTCTACACCTGTTGTATTCGGCGCATGTGACCAATAAAACTGCATTTTATTTGATTTAGTCCTCCACTCCAGAAACCGTCATCCTCACTCCGAGAATTCAATTCATCCTGCTCTTGGAATCCTCTTGATAGCTCATATCTGTCGCGGGGTGGACTTATAAATTAATGATATGTACCCATTGATTCTTGAAGAATATAACTTATAATTGCCTCATGAGCTTTGTTCAGCTGTACCCCATCAGAACCTAAAATATAAGCTTGATTTACTCCAATGTTTGTATCAAAGTAAATGTAAAAAAACACTATATAGCCTCAAAAGATGGTTAAAACTATCATTTAGATATCATGGATGGTCAGTCCTTGCATCCAATTGCTCTGTCTATGAATTTGAGAGTGGTTGCCTTTCTCCAGCCCCATCCCTCAGCTTTTTACCGAAACGGGGGCAGGGTGAACGCTGTTTCAACTGCTGATTACCGCTTTAAACTATGTGTTGACTATATTAAATTCCACTTATTTTGACGCGAACCAGAGAAATACAATGCCATGGTACAAACTTTGAAATGGATGTCATCACCATAACTCATCATATCATATTTTATTTTGTATAGCCTAACGTTGAAATGAGATTTTGACACATCATAATTGTTTTTTTATTTAGAAATGGAGTAATACAATACTCTATGTTGGAAGTCTAGTCCTGCTTGTTTTCATCACTATTTTTCACCTAAGAATGAGCAGAGGAGATGATGTATAGAGGTAAGATCAAGACACCAGATTGTTTTCAACAGCAATTTCTGAAACCTGTAGACAACCATATGACAACCGTATCAATCACTTACAACAGTCTGGGCCTTTTGATCATACTCCTATTTCCTGTTGATTAAAAACCTTTCATTTTGACAAAGAGACCTCAAACCCAGAGCATTGACACACCACACACTACGTCATTCTTTGTGCCCTTTTGAACTTTTCTATGATCTTTTTTTAAGAATCACTAAGGCTATATATGATCAAGGTTATGTGTGAAATGTGAATGATAGGATGGTTTTGCATATACAATAATATTAAATTTTTTATGTATAACATTCAAAAGACTTCCCATATAAACTGACTTTAGAAAAGCAGGGCACACAATTGTCTTTGCCAATAGTTGGGTGCTGCTTCATTTTTGGACAACGAGAAATGGCTGAAGACTACCCAGTGAGTGATTTCCCTGAAGCTTGCCTAATGATGGTCTCTAAACACAAAATGTTGTATTCTTGGTTTAGAATTGTACTTAAAGGGATACAAACGTTTGTCACTGTAGTGGTACCCTGTATGGTACGTCCATTGTACCTTTAGTTATAGGTACATAATTATACCCTTGAAGAGCAAATAGTGTACCTTAGAGGATGAGATAGTAGGCTACCTTTCTTACATATAGTCCACAGGTACAAAAGTGCACCTTTAGAAAATGTATAATTTGCCTTTTTAGGGTACCACCAGAGTGACAAAGCCATTTGTTTATTTTAAGTGGCAAAAATGTACCTCTAAAAATGTTTACAAAGCCTTATTTGCATATATCCCAGGGGGCCTTTCAAGTGAAATTTAGAGTTACCAGCTACACCCATGACTGTGTTTGCTAGTAACAGAGACATGATTGTTGCATTCAATGGCTTTCAGTGCTGTAGCCTTCACCAAGGGAGTGCCTAGGTAAATCTTTATGACAATATATTACATTCACTGAGTATACAAAAGATTAAGAACACATGCTCTTTCCATGACATAGACTGACCAGGTGAAAGCTATGATCCCTTATTGATGTCACTTGTTAAATCCACTTCAATCAGTGTAGATGAAGTGGATGAGAACGGGGTATGGTAGTAGGTGCCAGGTGCGTCAAGAACTGCAACGCTGCTGAATTTTTCACGCTCAACAGTTTCTCGTGTGTATAAAGAATGGTCCACCACCCAAAGGACATCCAGCCAACTTGACACAACTGTGGGAAGCATTGGAGTCAATATGGGCCCTGTGGAATGCTTTCGACACCTTGTAGAGTCCATGCCCCGATGAATTGAGGCTGTTCTGAGGGCAACTCAATATTAGGAAGTTGTTCCTAATGTTTGGTATACTCAGTGTATATCATAACGCCATACTTTGACAGCCTTGTTTCACCCCAACACAGTGGTCTGAAACTCCTGGTTTGCAGGCCATATCAGACAAGTCCCATTATGCTGGCTTGCAAAGTGATATGTAATTCCTATTGGAATACAACCAGAGTTAGGATATCCAAAAATGTGAACTTTTAATCACCCACAACCTGCATTTAGAATGACTGCCAAGGTAGGGAACATTCATAAATGAGACTACCTAAACCATTTAAACAGGAACAACTGCTTACATATTGGATTAGTTAATTTTGTGTACATAAGATCAATCAATCAATGTGCATGCAAAAACACAACATTCTAAAAATCAACCTGCAATAGAGCATGCTGGGAAATATGATAATGATTGGCGTGGTTTTTTGAGAGTGTGTTATGATTGTACAGAAATGTACCATTATACTAGATTATCCGCACATGTAGGCCTACTCTAAAATGTACCAAACAGTACAAGATTATATGTGTATCTCTGAATGTACATGGTGTATTTTGATCTATTTGTACCCCGGGGAACAATACTGTACCCTAACCGTACCCTTTTTTCTAAGAGTGTATGACTACAAGGGGAAGACAAAAAAAAAGAAACAGAGAGTCTGTGCGTAGAAGGGTCTGTGATTAGAACAGTGAATCATGTTGTCTGTGATAGGATGAACAACCCATTAGAACAAGAAAATGGTGTCAGTCAGACATAAAGAATCTGAGGATGCTGACTGGCCTCTGATTGCTATTGGAGAGTAAACATTTGTTAGGGTCCTCTGAACAAGCAGAGATAGGCCTTAGTTGCATTGACAGAATCCCCTGAATTGTGTCTATGACGATTCGGCCATCACATCAAAACCATTAAGACTGAGACTGGGTGACATGATAATGTATCGATCCCGTCATGATGGATGGTCGAGGAAGATATAAAAGTGAAGTTCCCAGTCAGGGTAAGATAGTGTAGTCCAGAGCCACCTAAGCTATTGTCATCATGCTGCCCTTAGCACTGTTCTACATTTTAGCTGTTATTTGCTCTGCCAGACGGACACATGCTCTACCACTGTATCCAGACACAAGCTTGGAACCTCAAGAAGGTATGCAAGAGAATCTGTGTTGTCTTTGATTTCCCTTGATCGGATCATTTCTGAATAGTCTATGTCTATAATGTTCTATTTTAGGGCATGTCTTGCTGAACCTTTCTTATGAGACATATAAGGTCTCATCTTTTCTTGGTGGAATTGATAGTGTTTAGGTTTCTGGTATTCATTCTTAGATCTCTATGCATCATTTTGTGAGGGCAATATTGAACTCTGAAATTATCTGTCTGTTGACAGAGAATTTTCAATAACCATGTAGGTCTACCGTAGATGGCAAAGGGGATAGATTTTCCTCTGAGAACATTTACATTTTAGTCATTTAGCAGACGCTCTTATCCAGAGCGACTTACAGTTAATGAGTGCATACATTTTCATACTGGTCCCCCGTGGGAATCGAACCCACAACCCTGGCGTTGCAAGTGCCATGCTCTACCAACCGAGCTACACGGGACATTGAAGGCAATAGCTATTTCGACAGTTAAGTTCAGGGTTTGAGTCTGGATTTTTTACACCAAGTAGGGTGACATAATTGGGTTCACTGGAACTTTCAGCAATGGTGTGGGTCTCAGCATTGATGACGGTGATAATACTGTTTGATAATTGAGAGCTGTTTTGTCTGAGCAGAGCTGATCCAGAAGTTGGTGGCGGAGGTGGAGGATGGAGAGAACTCTGAGCTGACTGACCAGAGAGAGGTGATGAATCTCTACCCTCTCCTGATGCAGCGCAATGGCGCCAGGGACACATGGAATAAAGCAGGTGAGGAGAGACGAAACCTAGAATCAAGATACAAGGACGTGAATGTTCTGATATCCCATAACTCTTTGCCATATGTTAATCAAAAGGACAATTGGTTTTATTCTAAACAGCTAGTCACCCATGTAATGTAATTAGGTCTATATTCACTTGGGTTTATTTTCTCAATTCTTCTTCAGGAGCTAAAGATTCTGTGCAGCAGGATACATTTGTCAACATGGTAAGAGTGTTAGGCATTTTTATTGAATGTGTGATAGAGAAGAACCCTCTAGGAAAAGCCATTATATTCTGTTCTGTTCTATTTGGTTCTAAATGGCTCCATGTGTCATAAAATATATTCTGTCTGTGTTTTTTTAGGTTGATGATCTGAAGGCGGTGGTTTTGAAGCTCGCTGCAGCCGACAAGCTTCGCTCTCAGGGCTTCCTTCGGTCTGAGCAGAATTTGCCGAAAACCAACAAGAGAGGTGAGTAAGAAGAACGTTATGTGGACCGACCTTCCTTTATGTTCCTTGTGTACACAGTAAGAACAGGTGTTTGCTGAGGACAATTGAAAACACTGTCACATCAAAAACAGAATAAAAGATCATATCTATGCTGGCATATTTACAATGGAATAAAGTGTTTGGTAAGGATGTTTACCTAAGGATTGTTCAGTCGAAGATGAGATTGAGTAACTATAGCGTTGCAGGATACAAACAGGATATGTTAGTACTCAGGAAAGCAGAACTGATGCACAGAATCTTGACATTTGTCTTCATATATGTCTCTTTCTTCCCTGCATAGCATGCTTCTGGAAATACTGTGTGACAAACTAGAAGCTTTGTGCTGGAGGAGGATAAGATTATTTTTGACGATACCTGGACAAGAACACCTTATCTCACCACCCTCACACCAAGCTGTGTCCCTTATTAAATATTGAACGTACAGCCCCAAGACAATGGGTATATTGCTTATACATAGAACCCTAGAGTAAATGATTGATAGTAAATATATTTTTTAATCCAGTTGAAAATGGCCTTGCATTGAGGCTGGCTGACAATAAAATGAAATATAAAGTATAATGTGGGTTGAATCGAACAACTTTGTTTTTGAGACCAACACTGTGCCAGATTGCATATACATTTCTACACAAATACACAGCGTACATGCCTAGAACCAATGCTTGGAAGCGGAATGAAGTCAACAACATTAACCTCTATAAGTCTAAACAGTAAAAAAAGTATTACAAGGAATGAGGTTTTGAAGTGTCTGTCCTATGTCTAGGATATATAAGAAAGCTCAGGAAATATACATATTTTTACACATATTTAACCCCTTATTTTTTGGGGCACAAACTACAACCATACTTCCATTCGTTTGAATGGGTTGCCTTACCATCATCGTGTTCGTGAGAGTCTCCTCTTTCCATAGTGGGGTCACATTAGTTTGTAGCTCAAACGGATCGAACACTACAGACAGAAGTTGGCACATCAGCGTTACCGACTTCAGACGAGACCCGTGACACTTGTGGGGGTCGTAGAGCAAAACGGAGAACACCTTTGTGAGTGTCTCCCCTTTCCGTAGAGTGGTCGTAATAGTTTTAGACCAAACCGTTCGAATGCTACAGACGATTTCACAAGAAGACCGATTTTCGGGAGGTCTTATGGTCTGACAAACACCGCTGTAGAGTAGCTTGGCCACTTTCCACCGCAGATGCGGAAGGCCGATATCGGCGGATGTGGTGGATTGAGACGCAGCCCATGCAAAAAAAGTTCTCTCTAGTTTAAACAGACAGATTTTGATGTTTTTTAAAAATTATGTTACTTAGATTGACGCACCGGTGTGTCAATAGACTTAAGGATTAAATGCTAAAATTAGCTGTCAACTATATTTAAGTTGACAAATTTAGAAATGCACAGTAAATAAATATTTAGTGTAATCATACAACATAAATCAGATATGACTACATACAGTATATATGGGTTTCTTTGACAAGATTAGCAATGGTTTCTGTGTTTCTTTTTTGCCCCCACAAGGGAGCAGCGGAGTACTAGAGATTTACACACGCACACACACACACTCGAGGGTCAGACTCATGAAATACATTTTATTTTATTTCACATCATAGTTTGAAATAACTAGAATCAGACAGGTGTAATGTATTATTGTAAAACATTTTGATGATTCTTTATGGTAATCATGAACAACTGTTAAAACAGGTTTTATATCACTACTTTCAATCAAACATAAACATTATTAGAATCCACTCTTATTGTCTTATACATTCTTATATTATGGGTATTCGGGTCACAAACAACATGTAAAAAATAAATATTTACACTATGGACAAAGAAACACTTTAAATTTGATTCCTAGAATGCTTATCGATTTCAAAGGCATCCTGATGCAGGAATTTTAAAAAATTGACTTGAGATACTTCGATAATGATTGCTGTGGCCTCCCAAAAAGGTGTAATATTTTTGGGTGAATGAGTTACCGTTTCCATGGAACGTAATAGTAAAGGAGGACATGTTGTGTAAATGGTTGGTTAAAGGTTGGTTATAGGTTTACAGCCTCTTATTGGCCACGTCCAGGTAAGTCTTCTCAATCTCGATGTTGGCAGGGCAGGTCTGACTGAACTCCTCCCTCTCGTAGGCATTGTTCAGGTACCTCCATACACCGGTGAACTGGACCGGGATGTCAAAGTCACAGTACTTCTTGGCAGCAATCTATCAAATAAACAGAATACATGGGAAAACAGTTGAATTGTGAGACACTATAAACAATAATAGTCATATTACACTATTTAAGTAATGTAGACTAGAGAATAAGGGCGGAGAATGTTTATTCCCAATGGTTCAAAATTGAGTTACACTTCTCCCAGGATTAGAAAGTAAGGATGGGCCCTGTCATTGCATAGGTTGTGTACTACACTTCATAAGACATGCCTAATACCAGAAAATAATCAAATTCCTATTCTAAACCGTTTATGTTATGGGCCTATTTGTCTCACCTTGATGACATGCAGCTTGGGCAGTAGGTTGCAGTCTGCCAGGGTGAGATGGTTGCCATCCAGGAACTTTCTCTTGGAGAGGGTGATGTTTTCTCTGGAGTTGTGGTCAATCTCTTCAGGTACGGGGGAGTTCAGGTAGAGATCCAGCCGCTTGAACTCACGCAGCAGCGCCTTCTCTTGGACTATGGAATGAGAGAGACACAGGCATGAATGTCAGATATACAGTGCATTCAGAAAGTATTCAGACCCCTTGACCTTTTTCCACATTTTGTTACATTACAGTCTTATTCTAAAATGAATTTAAAAAATCTACACACACTACCCCATAATGACAAAGCGAAAACAGGTCTTTAGATTTTTTTGCAATTTTATTTAAAAGAAATGACAACAGAAATACCTTATTTACATAAGTATTCAGACCCTTTGCTATGAGGCTCGAAATTGAGCTCAGGTGCATCCTGTTTCCATTGATCATCCTTGAGATGTTTCTACAATTTGATTGGAGTCCATCTGTGGTAAATTCAATTGATTGGACATGATTTGGAAAGGTACACACCTGTCTATATAAGGTCCCACAGTTGACAGTGCATGTCAGAGGAAAAACCAAGTCATGAGGTCGAAGGAATTGTCCGTAGAGCTACGAGACAGGATTGTGTCGAGGCACAGATCTGGGGAAGGGTATCAACACATTTCTGCAGCATTGAAGGTCCCCAAGAACACAGTGGCCTCCATCATTCTTAAATGGAAGAAGTTTGGAACCACCAAGACTCTTCCTATAACTGGCCGCCCGGCCAAACTGAGCAATCGGGGGAGAAGAGCCTTGCTCAGGGAGGTGACCAAGAACCTGATGGTTACTCTGACAGAGCTCCAGAGTTCCTCTGTCGAGATGGGAGAACCTTCCAGAAGGACAACCATCTCTGCAGCACTCCACCATTCAGGCCTTTATGGTAGAGTGGCCAGACAGAAGCCACTCCTCAGTAAAAGGCACATGACAGCCCGCTTGGAGTTTGCCAAAAGGCACCTAAAGGACTTGAGAAACAAGATTCTCTGTTCTGATGAAACCAAAATTGAACTCTTTGGCCTGAATGCCAAGTGTCACGTCTGGAGGAAACAAGGCACAATCCCTACGGTGAAGCATTGTGGTGGCAGCATCATGCTGTTGGGATGTTTTTCAGCGGCAGGGACTGGGAGACTAGTCAGGATCGAGGGAAAGATGAACAGAGCAAAGTACAGAGAGATCCTTGATGAAAACCTGCCTCAGAGCGCTCAGGACCTCAGACTGGGGTGAAGGTTCACCTTCCAACAGGACAACGACCCTAAAGACATAGCCAAGACAATGCAGGAGTGGCTTTGGGACAAGTCTCTGCATGTCCTTGAGTGGCCCAGCCAGAGCCCGGACTTGAACCTGATCGAACATCTCTGGAGAGACCTGAAAATAGCTGTGCAATGATGCTCCCCATCCAACCAGACAGAGCTTGAAAGGATCTTCAGAGAAGAATGGGAGAAACTCCCCAAATACAGGTGTGCCAAGCTTGAAGCGTCATACCCAAGTAGACTCGACGCTGTAATCGTTGCCAAAGATGCTTCAACAAAGTACTGAGTAAAGAGTGAATACTTATTTAAATGTGATATGTCAGCTTTTTATTTTCAATACATTTGCAAAAAATTCTACAAACCTGTTTTTGCTTTGTCATTATGGGGTATTGTGTGTAGATTGATGAGGGGAAAAAAACAATTTAATAAATTTTAGAATAAAGCTGTAACGTAACAAAATGTGGAAAAAGTCAAGGGGTCTGACTACTTTCTGAATGCACTGTATATGATATATCTATAGCTTTAGAGATATTCCTTATGCGCGGCTTTCCCAGACCCAGATTAACTTATATATTGGTTTTAAAAGCACTACAATTGAGATTCTCCATTGAGCATGCTTTTCAGTCCAGGATTAGGCATGGTCTGGGCTCTAAAATTCACATCAAACCAACATTTCATGAAGGTATACGCCCATAGCGTGTATTCCGTTGAGTACGTTTAATTTTCATATTTTCCATTGCCTCATAAGACATGGTCTAATACATGAATGTGGACTGACTGTAACTTCACTTACAAGTAGTGTTGGCTGGGCTGTTCTTGATGAAAGTGGAGAACTTGGCGAAAATGTCCGCACCCACGTCAAAGGACTCTTTGTTGAGTGGGCTAAGGTGTGGATACCTGAAGGGAGGGAGACGAGAGCAGTCTGAGTATGAATTTGTTTGAAGAAGGTCAGTGCCTTTCACTTTCTTCAATATAATAACACTATACCTGGGGGGGGCCAATGTTTGCTCCAGAAATTCCTCGATCTTGATAAAGTCTGTCTTGAGGGTGCCGTTGTACAGTAGGAATGGAGGGTTGGTCCCTGGTGCCAAATCCTTCAACTCTGCTGGCTTCCTAGAGTGTACCAGGGCAGGGTTGGGTGGAGAGGTGGGAAAGGGCAGGGAGAAAGGGAGTAGACAGGGTCATATATGTGATCATTCCATTATATCAATAGATACAATGTCGATCATTCAGCGACACAATCACAATGAACACAATGGTTATCAAGCCATGTCAAAATCCAGTGTTTGGCATTCTCGATTAATGATTCCAACAATGCCCATGATTCAGTTAGTAAAACACACTGGCATGGGAGGGGCTAGCTCAAAGGGTGCATATTGTGTGTTTTCTCAATCACTCAATTATCAGCATCCTTTCAACGTTTCCTGATCTTATTTGCTCACTGGTAATGGGCCTGAGAAACTCACACTGAAAGGGGGTAGATTTGTTTGTTCAATTACACACTGACCTCTTTGTCCATTCTGCTATTGCTTTAGCCTTGCAAGCTCCGCCCTCTATCACCTCTCTGTATCACACCTTATTGAGTGTTACTTTTACCCTATTAAACGGTTTGGTTTCTGAAAAACATCCTTGTTCTCACTCCACTCTTAATAGAGCCCTGTGTGAGTGAGGGCTTTGTCTAGAAGGGATACAATTTATGTCAAAATTGACTTTTCGTAGCAGTTAGGACAATTTATGCAGCTGGTTAGGATAATTAATACAGCAGGTTAGGATAATTAGGTTAAGGTTAGGAAAAGGGTTGGGGTTTGGGTTAGCTAAAATGCAAAATATTGACGTCAATTTTACATAATCTAGACATGACCCTGTGTGAGGGGACCTTTAAACAGATGCACAGGAAGTGGAAGGGTGGGAGGCGGGGGGCTTACTTCCTCATGTCGACGGTGGTCACGGTGAACTTGACTCCTTTCAGCCACAGGACCATGAAGAGCCTCTGGCAGAATGGGCAGTTGCCCACGTTCTCTCCATCGTGGCCAGCCTGAAGGACAAGCAGCATTATTTATTGGGTTTAGGTTTAGTTATAGCCTGGTCCCTGATCTGTTTGTGCTGTATTGCCTACTCCTTTGGTCATTGTTACACCAAACAATGACCATAGGAGTTGGCAATGTTTGTTCATGTAACATTGTCCATGTTATCCATTACAGTATGTCCTGATCTCCAACCTTATCATGCAATTCATATTCATCTCATGTCATGACAAAAGACACACATATACACACTTGTAGTGGTGGGAGTGGCTGTGGTATTTTAGGAGCTGCCACTTGATAGGAAAAGCAGGCATTGTGTCGGAGAGGAAGATAATGGTAGATAACGTCCCTGGTATTGAGAAACAAATGGAATGGTTCACTCACTGTTGTACGCAATTGGATTTTGTGTGCGTGCGTGTGCGTAAATATGTACCATTACGCACATATATGACTTTACAAAGAGATATATTTATTGTATTTATCCTTTTTCATTGTGTGAATGTGCGTATGTGTGTTAGAGCATGTGCGTATGTGTCAGTGTGTGGGCGTGTCTGTCTCATCTGGGGCCAGGGGTTCCCAGTGTGCTGCCTGCTCTTCTTGGGAGTGTGGTGATAAGGTGGCCTCCAGTGTCTGGCGTCATTACACAGTGATAAAGGCCACTTTCACTGTCACTGAGGAGACACACACACACACACACACACACACACACACACATACATACATACATACATACAAGCACACACATACAGTACATACACATTCACACCAGCCTCTCAGGCTTTGCGTAACCCTATATGACGACCATTCATGGAGAGCCAACCTCGGATTGATGGTGCCCATAATGTAGATATCTGCCTCTCTCTGCCCATTTACAATGCTGAGTGCTGATAAGTGAACTACAAATCTTGGTCAGATTCCAGTTTTTACCAATCCTGAACACAACACTACAAGCATTGAGCCATTATTTGAAACAGAGCCTATGGCTGAAGTGGCTGAAGCTTACATTACAGCTTGATATTGTACATTTAATTTGCTTTCACATGAAACACTTTTGAGTTATGTTTTTCTATATTTCAATCATCACATAATTTACATATTTTTACATGTTGTTGAAATAATAGACATTCATAGATGGTATGTTAGAATTAATACATATTATTATTTTCTTATTCTAAACTAAAAGATGAACACAATACTGACCTTAATGAAGAGTTCAATAGTTGGGTCTTTGTCAGAGTTCTGTCGTAGTGCCATTTTGTCCAAAAGCTGTGCTTTGTGGTGCCAAGTTCAGAAATGTTTCTCCAACAAGTGTCTTCAGACCCAATCAAAACCTGTTAACTCTGAAAACTCCAAGTCCATTGAAGTAAAACCTCACTATGCCACTATGAATCTGCTATATATCTGTTTGCTCTAGTGTTCTGGTTTACAAATGGATCTTAGGAGGCAGTGTAAGCTGGTATGCTTTGTCTGAGGGCTTCTTGAGGCTATCACTTTGAAAAGTCAGAGGAGGGGGTTGGTCCAGAGGATGGGTGTGGTCCTCCCTTATATAAACACAGTTCCAAGCTCTCTCTATGAGGAGAGCCTAAAATAGGTCCAATTACTTGTCAGTTGATAATGGTTAATCAAACAACGTAGAAATATAGTTTCACCACGTGACTAAAAACTTAATAGATGGCCATCATAGCCCCCATACTGACAGTATAGCCATATTGAATACACTGCTTTGATGATTTGTCACACTAGTAACAGTGTACACTTTCTACTTATTGGATCTCCCCATTCAAAGCATGTACTGTGCTGGAATATACTGTGAACCATTTACACCTAATTTGATTTGGAAATGTTAAAATACAAGTGGCTCTCAGTTCCACTTCTAACTAGTATGTCAACAAAAACAGAACGTGCTCATTAGCTTACTTTCACTGGATTCTATTGTTTCACATATACTTTCTGATGAGGATATTTTTTGACGAGACCCAATTGCGCATGAGACACAAATATGTATCACATATTTTTTATGCTGTGTTATGGCAAGGATTTCTGTAGAGAAAAAGAAGACATTTGCCCATAATTGCCAGTAACCTTTAAGACTACACGATTAGTTACCTTAATATAAAACTAAGATCTACTGACATCAACAGAACTGTTTTCCCTGGAAAAATAAATCTGTGATAAAGCGTTTATTGAATTACATTTTTGAATATGTCAGGAATGCATGATATCTTGCCAGCAGTAGAAACTGGCCAGCATGATTTTAGTGAAATCACATGGGTGTTTGTGGTTAATGTTGGTGCTTGGTGAGTCACAGGGGAGGTGGAGGTATGGGTCATTGCACCAGCCTACATCCCTTGGGTAGAGGGAATGGAGCAGATTACTTTTGCTTTCAGTCACCATCTGAAGGTAGAGTGGTGGAGGGGGGAAATGTAAGGAAACCAAAGGGTTTGTCCATAATCCATAAATAGGCACGAGTTGATCTAAGGAAGATGGTTTGTCACGAGTCCTTAGCCCATCGAATAAAGCAATGGTCTACTGATTATTTGTGAGGACATAGGTAAATGTAAATGAGCCAGTCAACACTTTATCAATGATAATCCATTATAATGCAGTTATCATAAGCATGTATGATCCCCTGTCATTTAGTCAGGATAATGATCCTGACTAAATGACAGCCATTTTGAGTCAGTTGAAAATACTTTATAATGGCCCATACATGCTTATAACAAATAAAGCATTACAACTGCACTGTGTTATATTGTTATATCTACATTATATTCTAGATGTGAATTCATTGAATTACGTTGATATGATTGTCACTTTACACCTCATTGGAGACAAGAGGTTTTAGTTCTCTTTTCACTGAAGTGAGTGCATCTGTGAGAAATCAGTTGGCAGTTGCAACATCTGAAGGGGAATTTAGTCACTGCAGCTGTTCATACATAAACCCAGTACAAATAAGTCTAGGGGGGAATTCTGGGCCATTATAAAGTGTGGAGATGGCTCAAGAAACACATGCCTTCTGAGGGGCTAAAACCTTGATAAGACAAGGGGTCCAGGGACAAGTGACTGAACTGAACGATATGGACCTCTTAATAATAATAATAATAATAATAATAATAATAATAATAATATGCCATTTAGCAGACGCTTTTATCCAAAGCGACTTACAGTCATGCGTGCATAAATTTTTTGTGTATGGGTGGTCCCGGGGTTCGAACCCACTACCTTGGCGTTACAAGCGCCGTGCTCTACCACTCTTGTCAGTGTACTTCTGGTCTCAGATATACAGTATCTGCTGCCCCAGGGGCTGATGGGTATTTCCACAGAGAGGGGAAGATGAAAAGCAAACGCTTGACATGGAAACTCCCAACAAATCCTGGAAATTAAATGAATAACACGTAGCCAGAACAGGAAACTAGCAGGCAGAGCAACAAAGCATCCTCCTCCAATGAAAAAAGAGTCACGGCCCTGAGTTGTACGGTTATGAGCTACCTCATCTCTTACACACACTCCTCTCACACGTCCCACTAATCCCATTAAGTAGTGATGTCCGGTATTCTACAGTCCACCCAGCTCCACCATGGTCGTCATACCACAGACATAGACAAAGTTCCCTAGAGGACTTAGTCACCGTATTGACACTCATTGGGAGGTGTTCTGGATTTCAGTGGTGCCGTATGTTGGATCACTTGTCATGTTAAAATAACTTATTCATGGTAAGGGAAAGGTGGTAAGGGAAAGGGTGGAAATGTGGGATCAATAGGTTTTCTCAATAGGATCAAAAAGCAGTGATGTGTATCTACCCAAGCCCCTATGAATTAATTCCATCTGAATTACTGTATCAGTCCATGAGTGTCCAAGAGTGTGACTCATCTTGGACTTGGTTAACGTTTAGAGCAGGGTTCTCCAACTGGCGTCCCGCGGGCCGAATTTGTCCCGGGGGTGGTTTCATTTGCCCCCACCCCAAGTTTTCTGAGCAAAATATATACAGTGGGGAGAACAAGTATTTGATACACCTACAGGAAACGTATGATCTCTGTAATTGCAAACAAAGGTTTCTGTACCAAATATTAAGTTCTGCTTTTCTGATGTATCAAATACTTATGTCATGCAATAAAATGCAAATGAATTACTTAAAAATCATACAATGTGATTTTCTGGATTTTTGTTTTAGATTCCGTCTCTCACAGTTGAAGTGTACCTATGATAAAAATTACAGACCTCTACATGCTTTGTAAGTAGGAAAACCTGCAAAATCGGCAGTGTATCAAATACTTGTTCTCCCCTGTTTGCAATTACAGAGATCATACGTTTCCTGTAGGTCTTGACCAGGTTTGCACACACCGCAGCAGGGATTTTGGCCCACTCCTCCATACAGACCTTCTCCAGATCCTTCAGGTTTCGGTGCTGTCGCTGGGCAATACGGACTTTCAGCTCCCTCCAACGATTTTCTATTGGGTTCAGGTCTGGAGACTGGCTAGGCCACTCCAGGACCTTGAGATGCCTCTTACGGAACCACTCCTTAGTTGCCCTGGCTGTGTGTTTCGGGTCGTTGTCATGCTGGAAGACCCAGCCACGACCCATCTTCAATGCTCTTACTGAGGGAAGGAGGTTGTTGGCCAAGATCTCGCGATACATGGCCCCATCCATCCTCCCCTCAATACGGTGCAGTCGTCCTGTCCCTTTTGCAGAAAAGCATCCCCAAAGAATGATGTTTCCACCTCCATGCTTCACGGTTGGGATGGTGTTTTTGGGGTTGTACTTATCCTTCTTCTTCCTCCAAACACGGCGAGTGGAGTTTAGACCAAAAAGCTCTATTTTTGTCTCATCAGACCACATGACCTTCTCCCATTCCTCCTCTGGAATATCCAGATGGTCATTGGCAAACTTCAGACGGGCCTGGACATGCGCTGGCTTGAGCAGGGGGACCTTGCGTGCGCTGCAGGATTTTAATCCATGACGGTGTAGTGTGTTACTAATGGTTTTCTTTGAGACTGTGGTCCCAGCTCTCTTCAGGTCATTGACCAGGTTCTGCCGTGTAGTTCTGGGCTGATCCCTCACCTTCCTCATGATCATTGATGCCCCACGAGGTGAGATCTTGCATGGATCCCCAGACCGAGGGTGATTGACCGTCATCTTGAACTTCTTCCATTTTCTAATAATTGCGCCAACAGTTGTTGCCTTCTCACCAAGCTACTTGCCTATTGTCCTGTAGCCCATCCCAGCCTTGTGCAGATCTACAATTTTATCCCTTATGTCCTTACACAGCTCTCTGGTCTTGGCCATTGTGGAGAGGTTGGAGTCTGTTTGATTGAGTGTGTGGACAGGTGTCTTTTATACAGGTAACGAGTTCAAACAGGTGCAGTTAATACAGGTAATGAGTGAAGAACAGGAGGGCTTCTTAAAGAAAAACTAACAGGTCTGTGAGAGCTGGAATTCTTACTGGTTGGTAGGTGATCAAATACTTATGTCATGCAATAAAATGCAAATTAATTACTTAAAAATCATACAATGTGATTTTCTGGATTTTTGTTTTAGATTCCGTCTCTCACATTTGAAGTGTACCTATGATAAAAATTACAGACCTCTACATGCTTTGTAATTAGGAAAACCTGCAAAATCGGCAGTGTATCAAATACTTGTTCTCCCCACTGTACTACTTATTATTTACTTTCATCCTTTCTTACTTTTGGACAGCTGAAGCAAGCACACAACTTTTCTTCAAGTAATGTACATTTCCTAGTAAATATCTTTCTTTCACCAGGAAAAGAAAAACAGAAACAACAGGTAAGTCACGAAATTATGGAGCAATGAAACAAGTATTAACAAACATTGTGAGAATTAAGTGTGAGATCTGGGAGTCGTGGCTGAACGACAACAATGATAACATTCAGCTAGCAGGCTATACGCTACATCGGCAGGACAGAACGTCTGACTCTGGTAAGACAAGGGGCGGCGGTCTGTGTATATTTGTAAACAACAGCTGGTGCACAAAATCAAATACTAAGGAAGTCTCGAGGTTTTGCTCGCCTGAGGTAGAGTATCTTATGATAAGCTGTAGACCACACTATTTACCAAGAGAGTTTTCATCTATATTTTTCATAGCTGTCTATTTACCACCACAAACCAATGCTGGCATTAAGATTGCTCTGAATGAGTTGTACAAGGCCATTAATCAACAGGAAAACGCTCATCCAGATGCAGCGCTCCTAGTGGCCGGGGACTTTAATGCAGGGAAACTTAAATCCGTTCTACCTAATTTCTATCAGCATGTTAAATCTGCAACCAGAGGGAAAAAAACTCTAGACCACCTTTACTCCACACACAGAGACGCATACAAAGCTCTCCCTCGCCCTCCATTTGGCAAATCTGACCATAACTCTATCCTCCTGATTCCTGCTTATAAGCAAAAACTGAAGCAGGAAGCACCAGTGATTCGGTTAATAAAAAAGTGGTCAGATGACGCAGATGCTAAGCTACAGGACTGTTTTGCTAGCACAGACTGGAACATGTTCTGGGATTCTTCAGACAGCATTGAGGAGTACACCACATCAGTCACTGGCTTCATCAATAAGTGCATCGATGATGTCGTCCCCACAGTGACCGTACGTACATACCCCAACCAGAAGCCATGGATTACAGGAAACATCCGCACTGAGCTAAAGGGTAGAGCTGCCGCTTTCAAGGAACGGGACTCTAACCCGGACGCTTATAAGAAATCCCGCTATGACCTCCGACGAACCATCAAACAGGCAAAGAGTCAATACAGGTCTAAGATTGAATCATACTACATTGGCTCTGACGCTCGTCGGATGTGGCAGGGCTTGAAAACTATTACAGACTACAAAGGGAAGCACAGCCGCGAGCTGCCCAGTGACACAAGCCTACCAGACGAGCTAAACCACTTCTATGCTCGCTTCGAGGCAAGCAAAACTGAAGCATGCATGAGAGCACCAGCTGTTCCAGATGACTATGTGATCACGCTCTCCGTAGCCGATGTGAGTAAGACTTTTAAGCAGGTCAACATTCACAAGGCCGCAGGGCCAGACGGATTACCAGGACGTGTACTCCGAGCATGTGCTGACCAACTGGCAAGTGTCTTCACTGACATTTTCAACATGTCCCTGACTGAGTCTGTAATACCAACATGTTTCAAGCAGACCACCATAGTCCCCGTGCCCAAGAACTCTAAGATAACCTGCCTAAATGACTACCGACCCGTAGCACTGACGTCTGTAGCCATGAAGTGCTTTGAAAGACTGGTCATGGCTCACATCAACAGCATAATCCCAGAAACCCTAGACCCACTCCAATTTGCATACCGCCCCAACATATCCACAGATGATGCAATCTCTATCGCACTCCACACTGCCCTTTCCCACCTGGACAAGAGGAACACCTACGTGAGAATGCTATTCATTGACTACAGCTCAGCATTCAACACCATAGTGACCTCTAAGCTCATCACTAAGCTAAGGATCCTGGGACTAAACACCTCCCTCTGCAACTGGATCCTGGACTTCCTGACGGGCCGCCCCCAGGTGGTAAGGGTAGGTAACAACACATCTGCCACACTGATCCTCAACACGGGGGCCCCTCAGGGGTGCGTGCTCAGTCCCCTCCTGTACTCTCTGTTCACCCATGACTGCATGGCCAGGCACGACTCCAACACCATCATTAAGTTTGCCGACGACACAACAGTGGTAGGCCTGATCACCGACAACGATGAGACAGCCTATAGGGAGGAGGTCAGAGATCTGGCCGTGTGGTGCCAGGACAACAACCTCTCCCTCAACGTGACCAAGACAAAGGAGATGATTGTGGACTACAGGAAAAAAAAGAGGACTGAGCACGTCCCCATTCTCATCGACGGGGCTGTAGTGGAACAGGTTGAGAGCTTCAAGTTCCTTGGTGTCCACATCACCAACGAACTATCATGGTCCAAACACGCCAAGACAGTCGTGAAGAGGGCACGACAAAGCCTATTCCCCCTCAGGAGACTAAAAAGATTTGGCATGGGTCCTCAGATCCTCAAAAAATTCTACAGCTGCACCATCGAGAGCATCCTGACTGGTTGCATCACCGCCTGGTATGGCAACTGCTTGGCCTCTGACCGCAAGGCACTACAGAGGGTAGTGCGTACGGCCCAGTACATCACTGGGGCAAAGCTCCCTGCCATCCAGGACCTCTATACCAGGCGGTGTCAGAGGAAGGCCCTCAAAATTGTCAAAGACTCCAGCCACCCTAGTCATAGACTGTTCTCTCTGCTACCGCACGGCAAGCGGTACCGGAGTGCCAAGTCTAGGTCCAAAAGACTTCTCAACAGCTTCTACCCCCAAGCCATAAGACTCCTGAACAGCTAATCATGGCTACCCGGACTATTTGCACTGCCCCCCCACCCCATCCTTTTTACGCTGCTGCTACTCTGTTAAGTATTTATGCATAGTCACTTTAACTCTACCCACATGTACATATTACCTCAACTACCTCAACTAGCCGGTGCCCCCGCACATTGACTCTGCAACGGTACCCCCCTGTATATATAGCCTCCCTACTGTCACTTTATTTTACTGTATATATAGCCTCCCTACTGTCACTTTATTTTACTTGTGCTCTTTTTTTCTCAACACTTTTTTTGTTGTTGTTTTATTCTTACTTTTTTTGTTTAAAATAAATGCACTGTTGGTTAAGGGCTGTAAGTAAGCATTTCACTGTAATGTCTGCACCTGTTGTATTCGGCGCATGTGACCAATAAGATTTGATTTGATTTGATTTGATGTGTTACTGGAAAAGCAGAGCTGGCTGGAAATGTGTTACTTGCCATTGACCTCTCTCTTCCCCTTCCACAGAGCAGAGGAAAAGGAAAGGCCTATCTCAGGGAGATAGACTAGCCATATCTCCATTAGACACACCGCAGCAGGAAGTCAGCCCCTCTGGAAAACCACCTCTGTGTGTCCCAAATGGCACCCTATTGCCTATATAGTGCACTACTTTTGACCAGGGCCCATTACAAGTAGTGCACTATAAAGGGATTAGGGTTCCATTTGGACAGAAGTGTAAAATAACTAATTACAAGTACTCTCATTACTGTAATTGACTAGCTTTTCCGAGTACTTATATTTTTTTGAGTATTTCTGAAAGTCAGTCATTTTATTTCTACTTGAGTAAAATTGCATTATAGTAACAGTACTTCTAGTTGAGTAGGATATTTCAGTACTCTTTCCACCCCTGGTGAGTGAGTGAAAGAGGAATTTTGTGAGTGAGGGACTGAGTGTGTGAAGGAAAGCGTGTGAATGGGGGAGTGACTGAATATCAGTAACAATTAACAGAGGGGTGAATGAGGGATTGAATGGGGGAAAGAATTAGACATGTTTATTTCTGGTGTCTGAAGTACTGTATATTAAAGTCTGGCAACTTTATTGTTTATTAACTTTATTTTGTATATATTTTTTATTTATCAATTCATCTTCATTGCTTTGAATGTTTAATTGATTTTCAAATGTTAATAGTATATTTTTGACAAATCCTTCATTTTTTTACATGCAGATGGGCCTTGTTGCAACTCATAAAATAAATAAACGTAGTTCCTACTGTACATACATTTCCTCTCATGTGTAACGACGTTCAGGTAACCTTAGCGAAATTAGCTAATTACCAAGGTCAATGTTTTTATTTTAAAAGTAACTAAATTACTTTTGCTCTGAGTACTTTTTCAATTAGCAACTTTTTACTTTTACTGTAGTATTTTTTTTACACCAGTAATTTTACTTCTACTTGAGTCAAATGTAATTAAAGTAACAATAGTTCTACTTGAGTAGGATATTTCACTACTCTTTCCACCCCTGCATTTGGAATGCAGATAACCTCTTTATCTATATGAACAGGACCCTCCATGTTGACCAGTGGGCTGCTGGGGGTCTTGATTCGGCCGCTACACACACACACAGGGTCAATACATGTTATCACACTAAACAAAGAAGGTATTCCTGTGAACCTAAAAGCTGTGTCTTGAGTTTAATTATCTTCACGTCAATAACAAGGGTTTTCACACCTTGGATGGTAGGTTGTAAACACACAAATGGACAAAAATGCTTGCATGCACACACATACTGTACATACACACAAGCACATGCATGCACACATGCACAATTGTACACACACGCATGTGTACGCACACACACACACACACACACACACACAGAAGCAGTCAGCTGTTCCTTTTGACCGTGAAAAGGGGGACTGTTCAACGGTGAAGACAATGGGCATCATTGACCACTTGTTCACAGTCAGTAAACAGCCAAGCAGCATCTCATAGTGATACACCCCACTGGTGGTCTGTAATATAGGATGGGCATCATGACAGTCCCATGGAGCTTCTGGAGGTCCTGCTGGTCTCTTTCCCTCTTCCTCATCCTGGCTCTGAACACACACAGCGCATGGTCCACTCCAGATTTCTCTGGTAAGTGTGTTTTTGGCCTTTGTTATTGCTGTTAAAGAGAAAAAGTGGAGAAAATAGATACTGGTATGGCTCACTCAGCACTACATGCTGTGTAGAGAGGAAGCCTTCGCAAGACACTGGCCGCTTTCCAAATGGCACCCTGTCCGCTCATAGGGCTCTGGCCAAAGTTGTGCACTATATAGGGAATAGGGTATCGTTTGGGACTGTACATTCCCTGATTTTTCTCCTGGACATCCTGTGCCAACAAACAATGGCAGCGGTTCACCGTGAGAGACAAGAGTCAGGGTTAAAGCACCCTGTCCTCCTCATTGACAATAATGTCATTATAATAACCATTATAATTCTGAAAATATTATAAATCTTGTTTACTTCTCAACATATCACTGATAATGGACATGCGCGATGATCTGTTTCAACACACATATCAAGTAATAGTCTTTTTTTGTAGTTAAATAAGAATGACATAGACACCCGTTTGAGATGATAGCAGTGATATACACTCAGTGGTCAGTTTATTAAGTACACCATCCCCGTTCACGAAAATGGTTCGCTCATACACACAGTGAGTCACGTGGCCATGGCTTTCTATATAAAGCAGGCAGACAGGCATCGAGGCATTCAGTTACTGTTTATTTGAACGTTAGAATGGGCAAAATGAGTCACGTAAGCGACTTTCAGCGTTGCATGATCGTCGGTGCCAGGGGTGCCGGTTCCAGCATCTCAGAAATGTCTGGCTTCCTGGGCTTTTCACGCACAACAGTGTCTAGGGCTTACCGAGAATGGTGCGACAAACAAAAAACATCCAGTCAACGGCAGTCCTGTGGGCGAAAACAGCTCGTTGATGAGAGTTTTAAGGAGAATGGCAAGAATCGTGCAAGCTAACAGGCGGGCCACAAACAGGCAAATAACGGCATCTCGGAACGCACAACTCGTCGGTCTTTACCACGGACAGGCTATTGCTGCACACCACCACACTGGGTTCCACTCCTATCAGCTAAAAACAAGAAGAAGCATCTCCAGTGGGCACGCAATCAACAACACAGAACAATTGAGGAGTGGAAAAACATCGTCTTGTACGATGAATCCCGGTTCCTGTTGTATCATGCTGATGGCAGTAAGGATTTGGCGTAAGCAGAATGAGTCAATGGCCCCATCCTGCCTGGTGTCAATAGTACAGGCTGGTGGCAGTGGTGTAATGGTGTGGGGACGTTTTTCCTGGCACATGTTAGGGTCCCTTGATACCAATTGAGCAATGTTTCCATGCCCCGAAGAATTCAGGCTGTTCTGGAGGCAAAGGGGGGTCCGACCTGGTACTAGATGGGTGTACGTAATAAAATGTGTATTTGTGTTGTCCTGGTTGCATCTTCATTGATGAATGCCAGACACATCAGAATGACAACAAACAGAGATGTTACATGATGATTTATTTGGACAAGATAGACAGCCAGTCCATGCGGGGGTGACCACCACTGACCAGTGTTGCCTTTGTCTGGGCCTTACAATTGTCACTCCATCTCTATATCTGACCATTACAGGGATCAACATCTGTGTATGGGTGTGAGCTATGAGCTGCTCTAAGAATAGCTCATTGTGAGGGAGAGCCTGGTACTGCCCTACTGTGGCTCTGTGGAGCTGTATGCCATTGGGGAACAAAAAAAAGAGACAGCCAGGAAGACACAGACAGGGGCCAGGGATATTCCTTGTATTCATCATATTTCTATGGCCCAGGATATTATTGTGACAATAGGATGAGGGCAAATTCAACCATAGAATAAGAATGACTAGAACGGATAATACCCTTTTAAGTCAACATTTTGTCCTTTCTAGGGATTCTATTTCTATGGATCCAACTCTGTTATGAACTCTGTTATCCTATGTGTTTGTGTATCATAGCACAACACTGCTCAGGAGAGCTACTCCCAGTGTTTGGGACACACCCTCTTGTAACCAGGGCTGGGTGACTATGAGTACAATGACACAGGACACAGAATGTGCAATGTGTCAAACTGTTGGTCATGCTTCACAGATTCAGCTTAGTCCTTGATTAAGAAGCATTTTCAGGGCCTCCCGAGTGGCGCAGTGGTCTAAGGCACTGCATCGCAGTCCTAGCTGTGCCACTAGAGATCTTGGTTCGAGTCCAGGCTCTGTCGCAGCTAGCCGCGACCGGGAGACCCATGGGGCGGTGCACAATTGGCCCAGCGTCGTCCAGGTTAGGGGAGGGTTTGGCAGGGGTATTCTTGTCCCATCGCGCACTAGCGACTCCTGTGGCGGGCCGGGCACAGTGTTTCCTCCGACACATTGGTGCGGCTGGCTTCCGGGTTAAGCGAGCATTGTGTCAAGAAGCAGTGCGGCTTGGCTGGGTTGTGTTTCGGAGGACGCACGGCTCTCGACCTTCGCCTCTCCCGGGTCCGTACGGGAGTTACAACGATGGGACAAGACTGTAACTACCAATTGGATACCACGAAATTGGGGAGAAAAAGGGGTAAAATAATTAATTAATAAAAACAAAATAAAGAAGCTTGTCAACTAATAAAAAGCTGATTAAAACCACTCCCAGGAGATTAGATACAGAGCCTTCAGAAAGTACACTATATATGCAAAAGTATTTGGACACCCCTTCAAATTAGTGGATTCGGCTATTTCAGCCACACCCGTTGCTGACAGGTGTATAAAATCGAGCACACAGCCATAGACAAACATTGGCAGTAGAATGGCCTTACTGAAGAGCTCAGTGACTTTCAACGTGGCACCGTCGTAGGATGCCACCTTTCCAACAAGTCAGTTGGTCAAATTTCTGCACTGCTAGAGCTGCCCCTGTCAACTGTATGTACTGTTATTGTGAAGTGGAAACGTCTAGGAGCAACAACGGCTCAGCCACGAAGTAGTAGGCCACACAAGCTAATGAAGCGCGTAGTGAGTAAAAATCATCTGTCCTCGGTTGCAACACTCACTACTGAGTTCCAAACGGCCTCTGGAAGCAACATCAGCACAAAAACGGTTTGTTGGGAGCTTCATGAAATGGGTTTCCATGGCCGAGCAGCCGCACACAAGCTTAAGATCGCAATGCCAAGCGTTGGACTCTGGAGCAGTGGAAATGCGTTCTCTGGAGTGATGAATCACGATTCACAATCTGGCAGTTCGATGGACGAATCTGGGTTTGACGGATGCCAGTAGAACGCTACCTGCCCCAATGCATAGTGCCAACTGTAAAGTTTGGTGGAGGACGAATCTGGGGCCTGGGACTGTTTTTCATGGTTCGGGCTAGGCCCCTTAGTTCCAGTTAAGGGAAATCTTAACGCTACAGCATACAATGACATTCTAGACGAATCTGTGCTCCAACTTTGTGGCAACAGTTTGGGGAAGGCCCTTTCCTGTTTTAGCATGGCAATGCCCCCGTGCACAAGCGAGGTCCATACAGAAATGGTTTGTCAAGATTGGTGTGGAAGAAGTTGACTGGCCTGCACAGAGCCCTGACCCAACCCCATCGAACATCTTTGGGATGAATTGGAACGCAGACTTTGAGCCAGGCCTAATCGCCCAATATCAGTGCCCGACCTCACTAATGCTCTTGTGGCTAAATGGAAGCCCCCGCAGCAATGTTCCAACATCTAGTGGAAAGCCTTCCCAGAAGAGTGAAGGCTGTTATAGCAGCAAAGGGGGGACCAACTCCATATTAATGTCGATGATTTTGGAATGAGATGTTCGACAAGCATGTGTCCACATACTTTTGGTCATGTAGTGTATTCACACCCCTCAACCTTTTCCACATTTTGCTGTGTTACAGCCTGAATTTAAAATTGATTAAATTGAGTTTTTTTGTCACTGGCCTACATATAATACCCCATAATGTCAAAGTGTAATTCTGTTTTTAGAATGTTTACAAATGAATTAAAAATGAAAAGCTCAAATGTCTTGAGTCAATAAGTATTCAACCCCTTTGTTATGGCAAGCCTAAATAAGTTCAGGAGTATACAATTATCTGTAAGGTCTCTCAGCCGAGCAGTGAATTTCAAACACAGATTCAACCACAAAGACCAGGGAGGTTTTCCAATACCTCGCAAAGAAGGGCACCTATTGGTAAATGGGTAAAATAAAAAAATTGACATTGAATATCCATTTGCGCATGATGAAGTTACTAATTACACTTTGGATGGTGTATGAATAAACCCAGTCACTACAAAGATACAGGTGTACTTCCTAACTCAGATGCCAGAGAGGAAGGAAACCGCTCAGGGATTTCACCATGAGGCCAATGGTGACTTTAAAACAGTTATAGAGTTTAATGGCTGTTATAGGAGAAAACAACTTTGTCATTACAACACTAACCTAAATGACAGAGTGAAAAGAAGGAAGCCTGTGCAGAATAAAAAATACTCCAAAACATGCATCCTGTTTGCAACAATGCAGTAAAGTAATACAGCAAGAAATGTGGCAAAGCAATTCACTTTTTGTGCTGAATACAAAGTGTTATGTTTGGGGCAAATCCAAAGCAACACATTACCGAGTACCACTCTCCATATTTACAAGCATAGTGGTGGCTGCATCATGTTATGGGTATGCTTGTAATCGTTAAGGACTGGGTAGTAAAAAAAAGAAGAAGAAACGGAATGGAACTTAGCACAGGTAAAATCCTAGAGGAAAACACTGGGAGATGAATTCACCTTACAGCAGGACAATAACCTAAAACACAAGACCAAATCTACACTAGAGTTGCTTACCAAGAAGAAAGTGAATGTTCCTGAGTGTCCGAGTTACAGTTTTGTCTTAAGACTTGAAAAAGGTTGTCTATGATCAACAACCAATTTGACAGAGCTTGAAGAATTTTCTATAGAATAACATTCAAATATTGTACAATCCAGGTGTGCAAATCTCTTAGAGACTTACCCAGAAAGGCTCACAGCTGTAATCGCTGCCAAAGGTGATTCTAACATGTACAGTATTGACTCAGAGGTGTGAATACTTATGTAAATTAGATATTTTTGTATTTAATTTTCAATAAATCTGCCAAAATGTCTAAAAACATGTTTTGACTTTGACATTATGGGGCATTGTGTATAGATGGGTAATAATAATAATGATTTTTTTTAAAACCCATTTTCAATTCAGGCTGTAACACAACAAAATGTGGAATAAGTCAAGGGGTATGAATACTTTCTGAATGCACTGTATGACAGGGTGTTTGTTTGACCAGTGTTATATTGTACTGTTGGCATTTGGCTGAGATTGCCTGCCTCTTAAATGTAAAATCAATTATAGTACAATATTTCTGCATAATAATCCCCATCCTTGCTTTATAGGGCCTATTTATTTGAACAATTTCTATGTGCAATTTATGCTACATTTTGAGAGGTGGTGAATTCGATCAAAAGCATTGACAATTGTCAGGTTGATCTTTGAGGTCTAAGTCTCATCTCCATGCATACCATCTGTTCCTTTTCAGTGTACCTCCACACAATACTAAGAAACCACACTGCTCATGCCTGTGATGGAGACACCCTGTCTATCAAGTGTCCCTCCAGAACCTCTGTGTCCGTCCTGTCAGCGTTCTACGGACGCCGTGTCCCCATTAAGAACTTATGTCCCCCTGCGAACACAAACATGACCGAGGACAACACTGGATGCACTTCCTCTGTCGCTATCCAGGTACAGTACAGTAATTTGCCACACAGAGTTGTCCTCTATTACTGAAAGCAAAACAGAACCCTGAGACCTAAGGACTTGCTCTTAAATGTGCATATTTTTCTCTCACTCAGACATTGTTGTATTGTCCCTGCAGAAGGTGGTGTCAGAGTGTCAGGACCGGCGTTCCTGTCATATCCCTGTCATTAGCCAAGTGTTTGGTCAGGACCCCTGTCCCCTCACCAGCAAGTACCTCATAGTGTCCTACAAGTGCCGTCCAGGTGAGACTAGTCCACAGGGTTTGATTGTGTGAGGGCAAAAAAAAACCTGTCATAAACTGTGATTGTGAGTTTAGGAGACTCGAACAGTACTCCACAACTGGATACATCAGATGCATCAGGAAATGTATCATCGGACACAGAATTATATTTGTCTGTTTCTATTTAACTGAATAGAATAATATTATCTAATTCTATTGAAATGTACAGTATTATACAGTAAGTTTGTCAGTGATCGATACCGCTGTTTTTATCTTTCAGAGCACCACCGTACTAGGTTGGTGTGTGAAAATGAGAGACTGAGGCTGGTGTGTAAGAATAACACTGTCCTGGCTATCTACTCGGCTACATTTGGCCACCTGCTGCATGGGAGTCCCAACTGTCCTCAGGAAACTGCGCCACAGCCTGACATGGGTCTGAAACCATAGTCATTGGTCTGAAACAGGGAACTAAAGTGTCATCTAGTGGTCAAATACTAGGATGAAAAGAATGTGCATGTATCAATATATAATCAATAGTGTGTGTTACTATGTTACTTACTACACGTGAGTAACAGATGAGTAGGCATGAAGTACATGGACATACCCTTGACCTATGCATGTTTTCAACCTCTATAGCCTACTGTATATCAGAGTCAGACCAGGATCAAATACCTATTTCAAATACTTGTGCATGATTAAGCTTGGAGTTTGTACTTTTGGGACTAGACCATTTGCTCATTTGTACCAGACTATATCAAGCACAGCTCAAGTTTTGGAAATATTTGACTTATTTGACCCATGTCTGATCAGAGTATACATCTATCCTTCAGAGTGTCTGTCACCATCTGCTCTGAGGAAGGTGTCACGCAGGTGTCATGGCCGAGCCAACTGCTCAGTGCTGGCTGACACTCAGAATTTTGGGGACCCATGTTTTCCTGGCACCAGGAAGCACCTGAGAGTGTCCTTCACATGTGGTAAGTGACTAGAAGTCAAAGAGCCACTACCATGTGAGACACACAAACATCATGGTGTCTATAACCCACAGTCGAATCAATTACCCATTAGCCATCGTTGAGCTGTAAACATCATACGATTTGGAGTTCTGAAGAAAGAGTTTTTCATAAAATCTTGCCCTCTGTTTTCATGGTCTCACCAGATTACTGAGAAAATGATTCAGGAGAAATTGATCAAAATGAACCCTCTTTTGCCTCACCAGTTCCTCGATATCTCTTGGAGGATGTGGGACGGAGCGGAACAACATCCGACCCTTTCTTGATCTCAGACTACACACATGGTAAGACACCTACAAATACATGTATCCAAGTAAATGTAGCTTCAGCTCAGATACTAGCCATGTAATTAGGTCGGTGGACAATATGATTTGCAGCCGTTAGGCAGAAGGCACAGTAAGTCCCCTCTCATCTGCAGGAGGCTGGTACACTGGCCCCGGCGTCATCAGGCCTCAAAACGTGCTTTATACCAACTCTCTGGAAATTTTTGACAAAATACTGGGTAGGTCTATTGTTTGCTGTGTGCATGTAGGCTGGTTACTCATTAGCAGGGCCTCTTTGTACTTTATATAATATGCCTTGTCTTACTTAATGATCAGCAGGCACCAATCATTAGCCTGGTCCCAGATCTGTTTGTTCTGTATAGCTGTAGGAGTTGGCAAGACAGCAAAACAGATATGGGACCAGGCCAACCAATTGTAACTCTCTTGATTGTATAGCTGTCCATATAGGCTTTGTCTTCTATCTATTCCTCATTGATCAATATCATGCTAGTTTCACCCCAGACTAGTGTATCATCCCTCCACCCACAGGTCTTCCAGAGAGAGTGGCCCTCTACTTTGTCTCAGGGATCTGCGCCGGTCTAGTCTTCCTGCTCTGTCTGTTCGGCCTGCGCTCCACCGTGGTGAGAGACGTCAAGGACTTGGCAACAGAGCTGGGGGACGAGCTCAAGGCCAGCCGCAGACCCCGCCGGGAAGTCATGGAGGACCAGTATGACGACGACACCTCTGATGCTTCCTCCTTCCGCCGCCTCACCCAGTCCTACCGTGCGGCGGATATCTTTAGTCCAGCGACCATGACGGTGGAGATGGTGGAGAGGGAGGGGGAGGAAAAGGAGATGCCCAAGTTCGGAGACATCTGGCCCCACAGGGACTCCAGCCCATACGCCATCCATAAGATAATAGGGAATAGAATAGAATATCCATAAAATAAAAGCCTGCAGTGCCAGAGAATATAATCAAATTGAATAGAATAGACATCAAATAAAGGCCAGCAGTGTCTGAATATCTATAGGTATTTTATTGTATTGTATTCTATACTATATATAAGATAAAAGGCCTGCAATGTCTGAGAATCCACAGAGAAGCTTGTGGGAATAGACAGCAGCAACACATTAATCATGGACTGAAAATGAATATTTAGTAGACATTATTTTCTTGTCATTTCATGTGATCTATCTTTCCTTAATGTACGTTGTATATGATATGGTGACCTAACCTCATTATAATTCAGATAACTTGAGTGAAGCGCACACACAATAAGAAGTTCAAAATGTTTTTGGGTTGGTGGGTTTCAATAAACGTAATAACTTTTTGCCTAGAAGTTTTGGGAAATTGTAGGCCAATTTCAATTGCACTGGGTCAAATCAAATGTTTCTTTGATTTAGGCCTTTTTTGTACCATTAAATTGATGATCTTCGTGTTGCCTACAGTAAACGTTCCAGTAGATGACGCCATCCTCAAGCAGGTAGGTCCAGCTCATGCTATGGTATGGAAAACAGACCCCATTGTTCTCACTGTTTTTCTCACTCACATTATTGATAATCTTAGTCCAGGTAAGAGATTAGTAGCTGGAAACACTTTTGAATACATGGATCGAAGGGCTTTGTCAATGTCGTCCCTAATTAGGTACTGCATTGGCCTAATATAGTGTATAGGGGCTAGAGGGTTTTTGTGGGCTCATTCCTTATGGTATGGTCAATTTACACACACACGCTTTATAATTATCATAATGATATTCCATTGACTGTTCTGATGTAGCCTGTCTTCTTTTCCCATATGACCCGGTCCCTACCTCTCTGAAGAAAGTATCCATGCGCAAATGCTGCGAAGCTCACATGAGCGAATCTGTAACCAAACGTTGTACATCATTGGTCGCAAGTGCCGAGTTTGAGTTTATGTAGCCGCTGGATGGCTAGCTAGCATACCTTTGAAGAGGAGAGAAGACATCACTGCAGACAAGGTGCCATGATGGAGGAGTTACTAGCAATATAATTACATTATTATCAAAGCTAGCTAGCAAACGGTAGCTAATTATGCCGCCGGCATTTTGATTAGCACAGCTAGCACACATACTTTGTGTGCGCGTGGATAACACATTTTAATTCAGGACCAGACTAGCAATAGACTAGCATGCAGCCTACCTCTTGCAACAAATTATTGAACCAGCTAGTTAGTTAGCTAGCTAGCTTACTAACTACACCGCACTGGCTGTCAAGTGGTTGATGGTGGAATTAGTTAGCTAGCTAGACTACTGCAAGCACTACCCCCCCGCCGACAGCTGTCAACCGGAAGGCCGCGGGTCAGGGGTGGGGATTTAACAACTTTCCTTGTCTAAAATGTCTGGATGGACCGAGTAAATATAGCTAGCTGCCTATAACTACCACACATATCTGTCTCAATATATATATAGCTGAGAATGGATTCCTCTTTGGACTTCGGACGTGACGAGAAGTGTTTGGCAATATCCTTTTAAAAGTCTGCCATTTTTTGTTTTGCTTTTAAAAGCTAGCTAGCTTGCTAGCATAATGGTAGCTAGCTAACGTTAGCTTCCTAAATATTGTCCAACAGTTTAGATTTGCTTGCATTTTAATGTAAACAAACAGTACAGTGTGTTTAGCTAATACTGTCTTGCAGGTCAAATATTTGGTTGTGTTACTCTGAATATTTCAGATGTTTATTGATTTGATAACCCAGCTTGCCTAGTTACTAAGCTAGTTAGATTGGAATGCTATGTTCAGCAGTGCATGCCATGGTGTAATGGCAACAGCCTAACGTTACTAACGCTTGCTTTTTGCTTCAGTTTACAAAACAATGTAGCTATCAATGTAACCAGATAACCAGTTGCTTGGCCCATACAATCTATGATCATGTTGCCTTACTCTGAGGGTTGTGCAAATGTACTAACTTTAGCTAAACAACATTTTGTTTATTCAATAATACCACATAAGCATTATACACATTTTCCATTGTTCATAACAATTAGCTGCATTTGAAGAATTTCACAACAGTCTTGAAAAATTAGTGGGTTAGATATTTGTTCACGAAGTCATAGCCAATATTCTGGTCGCTAGGCCTATTTATAGTTTTATGTTGAAGTTATAGCCTGCCCTAGCCTGTGTCCCTGCCCTCTCATGATTGCTGCTGGTTCCTTAATAGTGATGTTCAAACTGTAAGAGGACAGGAGCTAAGGCTGTCTGGTCAGAAGGAGCCCAGGCTATTGTCACTGATTGAGCGCTCTGGAGAGTTTATGTAAGTACTAACAATAGAGAACTCAGTGTCTGAAATGTAATATTCATTCATATCTAGGGCTGTTGCGGTGACGTATTGCCGGCAGTCATGAGTGATGAGCGCAGTCAAATTTCACGTAACCGTTGAGTCATGGGAATCTCATTTTACGCACTCTGGACATGCGTTAGTAGTACCCAACTCTGTAATACTGTCAGGTCGCTAATGGCCTGGTACTCGGTACTGTATTGTCCCTCTTACCACTTTGACATCAATGCAAATGAAATCGAAAATCACAACAAACACTTGTCAAAAAAACAGTACCATGCCTTTAAAACTCACCTCACTGTGATTGATCAATTTGAAGAAAGAAGTTCAACAACAGGTTGAAACAGAGTGGAAAACATGGTCTTTGTGGATGTGTTTTCTAAGCCAAACACAAAGAAATGGACAGCGCTTTCTAAGGTGATAATTAATTCAAAACACACATACGCATAGGCCTATATATGACCACAAACCCATAAAAAAACCTAAATTCAAATAATGATTGTGGCGTTTAACGACACATAGCCTAATAGCCTATCGCATATTACGCAGGGTGGTTTAGAGTTAAGCCCAAATCAAAACGTTTTTTTTTTGTTGCATGAACAAGCTGTTCGAATGCACTGGCGTGAACGTCTACGGCGTCATAGCGCGTCAAATTTGAAAGAAAGTATATTTTTCTTGCGTCTACGCAGAGCAATGCATGGGTTGTTTGTAGAAAAGGAATTAGAGGAATTGTTATGATCGTCCCTATTCTAAGTAGACTAAATATGTAGTTTAAAATGTATTGTGTTGTAAGCTAAGGTTTATCAGTCAAATAGGCTACATATTTGAAAACAATTGTTGATTTCGATCATCTACGGCTTCCTCGAGTTTCAAGAGCGAATACTGTTATGTAGACGAACGAGACTAGCTAAATTCTTTATTAACTGCTCGGGTGTACGAGCTACTACTCTCCTCACGTTCGTAAGCTATTATAACTGTTTAGCGCAGGCAGGTACGGTGGCTCCCGTAGGACAGACAGTTGAAGTCGGAGTTTACATACACCTTAACCAAATACATTTAAACTCAGTTTTTCACAATTCCTGACATTTAATCCTAGTAAAAATTCCCTGTCCTTAGGTCAGTTAGGATCACCACTTTATTTTAAGAATGTGAAATGTTAAAATAATAGTAAAGATCATTATTTTTCAGATTTTATTTATTTAATCACATTCCCAGTGGGTCAGAAGTGTACATATACTCAATTAGTATTTGGTAGCATTGCCTTTAAATTGTTTAACTTGGGTCAAATGTTTCGGGTAGCCTTCCACAAGCTTCCCACAATAAGTTGGGTGAATTTTGGCCCATTCCTCCTGACAGAGCTTGTGTAACTGAGTCAGGTTTGTAGGCCTCCTTGCTCGCACACGCCTTTTGTCCTTAAGCCATTTTGCCACAACTTTGGAAGTATGCTTGGGGTCATTGTCCATTTGGAAGACCCATTTGCGACCAAGCTTTAACTTCCTGACTGATGTCTTGAGATGTTGCTTCAATATATCCACATAATTTTCCTTCTTCATGATGCCATCTATTTTGTGAAGTGCACCAGTCCCTCCTGCAGCAAAGCACCCCCACAGCAGCCACCCCCGTGCTTCACGGTTGGGATGGTGTTCTTCGGCTTGCAAGCGTTCCCCTTTTTCCTCCAAACATAACAATGGTCATTATGGCCAAACAGTTCTATTTTTGTTTAATCAGACCAGAGGACATTTATCCAAAAAGTACGATCTTTGTCCCCATGTGCAGTTGTAAACCGTAGTCAGTCTTTTTTTATGGCGGTTTTGGAGCAGTGGCTTCTTCCTTGCTGAGCGGCCTTTCAGGTTATGTCGATATAGGACTTGTTTTACTGTGGATATAGATACTTTTGTACCTGTTTCCTCCAGCATCTTCACAAGGTCCTTTGCTGTTGTTCTGGGATTGATTTGCACTTTTCGCACCAAAGTACGTTCATCTCTAGGAGACAGAACATGTCTCCTTCCTGAGTGGTAGGACGGCTGCGTGGTCCCATGGTGTTTATACTTGCGTACTATTGTTTGTACAGATGAATGTGGTACCTTCAGGCGTTTGGAAATTGCTCCCAATGATGAATCAGACTTGTGGAGGTCTACAATATTTTTTTCTGAGGTCTTGGCTGATTTCTTTTGATTTTCCCATGATGTCAAGCAAAGAGGCACTGAGTTTGAAGGTAGGCCTTGAAATACATCCACAGGTACATCTCCAATTGACTGAAATGATGTCAATTAGCCTATCAGAAGCATCTAAAGCCATGACATCATTATCTGGAATTTTCCAAGCTGTTTAAAGGCACAGTCAACTTAGTGTATGTAAACTTCTGACCCACTGGAATTGTGATACAGTGAATTATAAGTGAAATAATCTGTCTGTAAACAATTGTTGGAAAAATTACTTGTCATGCACAAAGTAGATGTCCTAACCAACTTCCAAAACTATAGTTTAACAAGAAATGTGTGGAGTGGTTGAAAAACGAGTTTTAATGACTCCAACCTAAGTGTATGTAAACTTCCGACTTCAACTGTATAAGGAGAGCCAAAAAAAAAAAAAAAAAAAAATTCGTCATTTAGCAGACGCTCTTATCCAGAGCGACTTACAGGAGCAATTAGGGTTAAGTGCCTTGCTCAAGGGCACATCGACAGATTTTTCACCTAGTCGGCTCGGGGATTAGAACCAGCGACCTTTCGGTTACTGGTACAATGCTCTTAACCACTAAGCTACCTGCCGCAAAAGGAATGCAACGGTAATTCACAAGGGCTACATAGCGAACATAACAAAATACAACTGTTTATTATGGATTTTCTTGATAATTAAGTTGGCAAACGCTACGCAGTGTATATGAATTGACGTTCTACTCTCGCGCACAATAAACAATTTTTCATGTGTTTTCGGCTTTAGCCTACAAATATAGTGAAATTTGTATTTGATTTGTATTTGCTTAGTAATAGGGCATTTTTTATATTTTCATAATTAATAGGCTGACCTTTAGCTACAGAATATCTCACCACCGTGCGTTTCTATCTCCTCCTCTCTCCTTCATTCCTTTCTCGAGCGTGCAGAGAGTGTGGCTGTCAACAGTTTAATGAAATATGTTTCGTTGTGAAAACATGTTACTATAGATGTTCCCGAACAGATTTCACTTGGTTTCCCAAATTTAAGCGCTGGGTAGCTGCAGGAACAGGGTTGGAGAGCCCATGGCATACAGAGTTTGGGTGGAATATCACCTGCCACGCAGCGAGAGGCTGCATGCTTCTCAAACAGTGGTTGATGCGTGGAGTGAAAAA